ATGATGAGTGGTGTATGATGAGTGGTGTATGATGAGTGGTGTATGATAAGCGGTGTATGATGAGTGGTGTATGATGAGTGGTGTTTGATGAGTGGTGTATGAAAAGTGGTGTATGATGAGTGGTGTTTGATGAGTGGTGTATGATGAGTGGTATATGATCAGCGGTGTATGATGAGTGGTGTATGATGAGTGGTGTTTGATGAGTGGTGTATGATGAGTGGTGTATGATAAGTGGTGTATGATGAGTGGTGTATGATGAGTGGTGTATGATGAGTGATGTAAATGTTCGTAACACGGAAATTTCTCTAAACTTCCTTTGACTACCTGATTCCACACTAGCTATATTCTTATACAGTATATATATATATATATATATCTGCCACCGACTTGGCTTACCGTGCCGATCGTACCGTGCCGCCTGACGGGGAGGATCGATTGGCTGTCCGTCCCTGGAAGTCCCGACTCAGTCACATGGTCTGACGAGTTCGTTCGGTGATCCGAATCTAGGAAGATCCTGTACTTCATCCAAAGGTGGAACACATATAGAGTCTTTGGAGGTCTTTGGGACTTCTAGACAGGCTGGCAAGACCAATCAGCTGATGAAGTGCAAATAAAGGTGCGGACTTCTAGAGGGGACAAAATAACACACGATTCCCCAGAAGGGGATTCAGTTCGGGAACATCACACGCACAACGATCAGCAACTCCAGGAGTCGAGGAATCATGCTGTTCTCCTTTTAGACGACGGAGAGAGAGGAGCTACTACTACGAAATGCCCTGTGTGACTAGTAGCAATGCCCCTGCTACTACTAGCTTCTTTGTCACTAATAGTCATGCCCTTGTTACCAGTAGCGATGCACTTGTTACTAGTAGCGACGTTCACGTCGAGCTAGCTACTTCGCTACGAGGAGACATGGTTCCGCTTCGTGCGTGAGTCACCGCACAATGGCCAGAACATACATGGAATACACAGAACTTAAAAATAACTAAACCCTGGCCAAAATGACTCTTATGAAGTGACCCTTAGTAGCAGTAGCCCGGAGAAAAAAGTCGTAGCCTAGTCAAAAAAACATATATATGTTTATATCATAAAATATCATATGTATATATATATATAGTCAGTCAATCGGGTAGTTTGAACACATGGGCAGAATATGGAGCGATGAGCACGATCGCTTAGCCTCACGATTGCACGTCCCACACTTCCCACCATGTCCGCACGTCAAGCATCACCATGGCACTATACTTCACCAGTGCCAAATCCTCAGCTTCGTCTTGCAAAGCGATTCCACGAATGAAGCGGAATCCCTCAGTCAGGGTTGAAAAATCGTGTTGATTCTGAAAGTGGTACCTTGCCTTGCTCCCACCAGATTCCTTGCATCTTCCATCCCCTAGCCCCTGGCTCATTACATATCTCAATGCCGCTATGATTTGATCAATTGATGATAGTTTGAACCACTACGAAGGACCGCTGCATGGCCGGAGTACTGCGTACTAGGTGCAAATAATAGAACATAACGTTAATCATAGGAACCACTTCCATCACATCTTCAGCGCCTACCATCCAGCAACTCACCAACCAAAAAAACTGGGCTCATCAGCAAATCAATGAGAAGGACTCAGCTGAGCACAGGGCAAAACTGCATAAATCACAATGGACATTTGTTGTGGGCCTGTAGACTCTACTAAGACCTCGAATGTCGACGAGGCTACCCGTCGAGAGTTGAGAACTGGTGATTGAGACCCCATAAGATTGGGATTAAACAATTACCCTTTTGCTTGAGAAGTACTGAACACGATTCTTTGATCCACATGCTTCGAGGAAATTTCTACAGAAGTTGCATGCACAGAATGATTGTTTGCATGTGTTGCCAAAAGTGAGTTCATCTAAACAGTTTTCAAGAAAAACCATGGCTTTAGCTAATGTTTGGTTCGCCCCTTCATTTAAACACCTCAAGCATTGCTAGTAGGTTGGAGGCCGTTACTAGTACCAAGAAGCTAGTAGGTTGGAGGCCAATACTAGTAGTAGCAAGAAGCTAGTAGGTTGCAGGCCATCGCTAAAGACCTCTTGCCCCAAACATGGCGGAGCTCCCGTTTCTTCTCTCCAGTCAGGGCGCCAACCAGCCACAGCGCCGGCGCCGGCCCGTGGTGGTGCCGTACTCGTGGCCCACCTCTTGAAGCATCTCCCCCACTCTCACCTGGCACCGGCACCAAAAAAGGTTTTTTCACTCAGGCCCATGCCAGCCACTTCCATGTGATGTGTTCGGAGTGAAGGTAAGGTGAAGCATGGTGGAGCTGGAAGGCTCGAAAAGTAGTTTTTAGTAGCTTCTTGTTCCTAGCAGTATGGCCAGGAGCGAACCGTTCGTAGCGTCCGTGCTCCGCTCGTAGCGATGCCCTTGATTACTAGTAGCGTCTTTGCTACTATGCCAAGGCTGGTATGTCGTATTTCCTGAGTAATAATGTAACTGTAACTATATAAATAGCTCTCTCCCATAGAAATTCCTGCTCCATCCTGCTGGTTGTTGAAAGGCACGCAACACTTCACAATGATTCACCCAGGGAAGTGGTAACCAGTGCGCCTATTCTGAACCATACGGCAACCACTATTAAATAACATACTAGAATTTGGACCACGAACTTATCGTTCATGGAGTGAAACGTCTTCTGAGCCAAAACATCATCAAAGCAAGGGCAAATAACCCAAAAACTGGGGGTCGGCGGCACCTGGGCGTTCGCCCATTCTATAAATTTCTAGTGAATTCGTGCAGGATTGGCCCTGTAGAATCCCTAACAATCATTTCCTCCACTACTGGGAGAGATCACCTAAGTCAGACCGAAGTCAGACTGGCTGACCTACAGAGAGACAACCAGGCCGCATCACATCCAACTTCCACAACCACCTGCGATCTCCGGGCCCATCTGGTAGGGTATGCGAACGCGTTGTCTGATCTGAATTCACTGACGGGAAAGAATTACACAAACCCAAAAAAATGGTAGGGAATGTTCAAAGTGAATACAGGATGACCATATTGGATGACCCAAACAGCACACAAACACTGCAGTGACCTTCCCACGAAAACAGTGACCTTCCCACCGGGGCATAGTCGGCGCCTGCTGGCCGGGCTTTAAGCTGTATGGCCCGGAGGCATGCCCCTGGCGTCGGTAAACCTCCAACCTTTGCCTCTGGAGGCACCGGCGCTCACCGAAGACTGCTTGAGACATGGAGTCCTCTAGACCTGGTTTCATAGCGGCCTCCAACCTACTAGCGATGGCCTCCAACCTATATAATAGCCATAAGGTCCGAAACGATGCATGGACTCCTCTATAGATATTGGTTCTCTCCATCTAGGTTCTAGATTTTCGCATCTGGAAAGCTTACGAAGATTCTGAAGCTGAGAGACGCATACATTGGTTGTGAAACCCAGCCATTGGCGTCCTGCCAGTCCCATTGGGACCCGGTTCGCGACGGTGGTCCGACCCGCGCCTTCCGTTCCATGGACTGCTCGGGGCCCACGTAGGTCTCAAGATGGTCCTTCCGTCGTGAGGCGACAGAAAGCTTCGATCAAACACAAAGGGTATGCGTCAAAGATAGTGTTTTTAAGTTTTTTTTACATGTTTTTTTTTTTAAATGTGTTTTTATGTGTCAAACATCAGAAACTTCGGTTAACAAAACATGCAAATCAGGGGATTTGGACAAGGTTTAATATGTTTATATGTAAGCTTCAAAACCCGGAATTTGGGGTTTTGGGATGACCCACAAATCATCACACATCACAGGACTTCAGAGCCACAAGCAACTCAATGGCCTCCAATTAAGTGCAACGCTTGCGTGGTGATGTTTCTCCCAGTGTTTCTTTGGTTTCATGGGTGTTTTGCACACACATATACATCACTTGCATCTCTAAAAAACTAAGTCATGCTTTCATGGTTTCACTTTTGACTGATTCACTATCTTCTTCAGGTTGTTTCGCATCTCCCTCCGCACCAGGAGACACGAGTGAGTCTCGTCGGCACATGACTCTGGGAACAGCAGCATTTCTGGTCCCTTTGCTTGTCAGACTCATGGTCACGCCCCACACTCCACCCCGCCAAAAAAAAGCAAAGGACCTCAGGACCTCTCCTCCAACGTCTGTGCTTCGTTTTGAAGCTCCTGGGTGGGCGCCAGTCGTCGTCGCGCCATTGTCGCGCCAGTGCTGTCGTCTACGCAGCGCGACAAAAAATCGTAGTGGAAGTGACGAAAGCATCACGACCACACGCCAATTCAAGCCCTGTGATGCATATCAAGCCTTATGTAGTAGACTCTATGACACAAGCCTGCTCCAAAAGCTTCAGCTTGCTGTTTCCGCGCAAGCTGCTCGAGTGCTGGCTTGCTAGAGCTGAGAATCATCCAGCAACAACGCCAGTCACCAATCATAACAGGAACCTCCCACTTTTGGGTCGTAGGATGTTCAAAACGTTCAAAACCACCTTAACATTTGGGTCGCTTCACGATGCTTTTGATCTATCGAACAGCAGCCCTTCATTCGAAGCACGGACCTCGATGTGCCTGGCTTCGATCTTTGGGGCCCAGTCGACATCGCTCCGAACGGAGCGATCGGACGCTAGTAGCTCCTGGCACTACTACTAGTAACAAGAAGCTACTGGAAGCAAAGGGCATCGCTACTAGGAACAAGAAGCTACTAGTAGCCGAAGGATTTTCGAGCCTTCCAGCTCCACCATGCTCCACCTTACCTTCACTCCGAACACATCACATGGAAGTGGCTGAGTTCGGAAGACCATGAAATCCGAATACCAAACGGGTGGCGCCATCCACTTCCATGGAACGTGAGTGGAAGGAAACCCTCTACAAACAGGTGCCGAAATCCGAATTTTCCACTTCCATGTTGAGTGAGTGGGAGTTATTGCTTTTTCCGTTACTAAGCCACAGAGGTGCTTCGCCAAGGCGCGGTGGGGAAGGGCCCATGACCCACCCTAGTGGTATACGCCTGACGGGTAGCGCCGTGGGCGACATCGACGTGAGACACATCAAAGCTGTGGAGAAGATACTGAACAAGACAAAATCTGAGTCTGAGTCGGATCTGTGAAGAAGATACTGAAAAGGTCCCTTCTAAGTCTGAGTCTGTGACTAGGTACCTTCTAAGTCTGAGTCTGCAATTGACTCAATTGACCATCTAATTAGATCATAGTATAGATCTATTGGGTCAATAAGAAACATCCTTTAATAGATCCTGGCAAAGCCTTGGTCGAACACCGTCTCAGCCCTTTTGGGGAGCCCTCGCACCTTCACCACACCGATGACGGTATCAATCTGCTTAGGTGGTACACCCAAACCTGCGGAGGCATGAGCGGCTCGTCCTTTTGGAGACTGTTAAGACTTTCCTCACTTTGAGCAGAAATTTGCCAAGCAATTACATAAGTAGGTTGGAGGCCATCGCTAGTATATAGGTTGGAGGCCATCGCTGGTAGGTTGGAGGCCACCGCTAGTAAGTTGGAGGCCATTGCTAGTAGGTTGGAGGCCATCGCTAGTAGGTTGGAGGCCATCGCTAGTAGGTTGGAGGCCATCGCTAGTAAGTTGGAGGCCATTTCTAGTAGGTTGGAGGCCATCGCTAGTAGGTTGGAGGCCATCGCTAGTAGGTTGGAGGCCATTACTAGTAGTAGCAAGAAGCTAGTAGGTTGGAGGCCATCGCAGCCATCGCAAGTATATACATAAATCAATGTTGAACTCTCATGACGATCTTTTCGCAAGGTAGGTGGAGTTTCGACACTTTGGTGGATGAAGTTTGTGCATTCTTTGCTTTGTAATTACTCTGCAGACCCTGGAGCAGTGCTGGTTGGAACACGAACCAGTGGAACAAAGTTCATGTCATGTACCGGAAACACTTCAGGTCCCCTGTAGGTGTTCAATGCTTTGGCTCTGGTGAGTGCATGCAAAGATGGTATGGATCTTGCGTAGGCATCATGGGTTTTGAAGGAGCTGGAAGATATTCAAGACATTTCAAGACTGCGTACGTCTGACCCGACTTCTGTCCGATGCTTTTAAAACTTCAATAATCCCACATCTCCCGTAAAAACATACACACACACATATTTTCTATATGTTTCTGTTTCTATGTCTTTTTCGGCAAACACAACACGGCCTCCATGACCAAAGGCCCAAATGGGTGGGGGGTCCCCCAGTGAGGCCGCGTCGGTTTGGCCGCTGCCGCGCCCGTGAGGGCGACCAAACGCACGCCTGTGCACACGCTTCCGACAGTGGTGTTGGAGGAGGTGACCTTGGTCGAAAAAAGCTCGGCATTTGGAACGAACAGCCTAATAATTATGCTGAGAAATCACATTTTTGAAAGCAAAGAAGTCATCCGTCCTGAAGAAGCCTAGTGATTTGATCTTTGAAGAACGCGCTTGACTCATGTTGAACATCTTGCAGGACGAGGGAATTGGGCATTCCTCATGCGAATCAACGGCCTTTGGGCATTCCTCAACCGATGGGTTCACGGTACGGCGATGGGTTCGGGCCCAGGTGTGGGACCCGGGACCCTACGGACCATGGACAGAGGCAGTTGCAGTAGAGGCATGAGGGGGGACACACCTCATTGGAAGAGGGCCATAATGGGCAACATGGACATGGCAGGCAAACTGCCTTATGCAATCAACAACTTGCGTTGGCATCATTGCAAACTCTTGCCTACAGCTGTTGAAACTCTCAGGTTTGCTTGTGTCGTTTTGCATGGCACCCACCATCGTTTCTTTCTTCAATTGTGTTGTCCGGAAAGAGAAAAACACGGCTGAAATACGACATACAAAAAGACATCGAAATACGACCGTCATGTTCCTGATCAATGGTATCGAAATAGAAGAACCGGCCCCACCACTGCACCGCCAGAACCACCGACTCTTCGCCGGTGCACCACCGACCGCCCATGGTTCGCTGCCCAGTGGCGAACGGATAGGTCCCAAAGTCGATGTCCAAAAGCGCAGCGTTGGCGCCTTCGACCAAGACCTCCAACACACGGTGTGAACCCACGGTGTGAACACCAGCATTGAGAACGCTTAGTGTCAGTCGCTGAGAGGTGTGGGGGATGGACCCATAGGCCATCAAACATCATGTCGGGGAGTCTCCTTCTTGAAATACAAGCCCTGATCTTATCAATGCACTCAGAACACAAAAACAGAAGCCTTGAAGACTGGACACCAAAGACATCGTCCAGTCTTTTCTGCTGCACTCTCAGTCTATAGAGTGTAAATCGAGTGATTGGGCACAGCAAGTAATCAAACCTGGAAAGCCTCATACCCGCAGCATTCCCTCATACTGCTGGAATCCTAGAGTCTCTACAGTAAACAGGTCAAGCTCAGGCCATGAAAAAGAAATCTACAGAAATGATACCTGCAACTACTTCAAAGAGACCTTCAAAGTAGACGCCCAAATGTGGGGTCTAACATGATAAACCTAACAACGTGCATCTTTTGTATAATGTTAGACGGGGGTCCAACAAACCATGGTGTGTTTCTCTTTTCTGGTAATTTATGATAAGCTTGTTACAGATCTAGCTGTTGACTTTCACTTTAGACCCTCATGCCTTGAAACATTGAAACAAGTAAAACGTAAAACACAACAACGGCATATTTTGTCTACATGATCCTGATTGCTCCTGAGCGTTCTGGCCATTCCTGCTGATGGACGATCGGACTATCTGGCTGTGGCTGTGGAATGAAAGGCTTGATCAACAATTTGGGAACATATCCTCTTCTCAGCCACGGTCATCACGAAACCCCAACTGAAAACCTGCTTCCAACTGGGTTTCTAGTGCTGGTGCTTTTAAGACATAAACAAAGGACCAACTTGCATAGGAATGCAACATGCAGCAACAAGAACAACACATTTTCTGATCAAAAGCAGGCTGCTTGAGCTCATGGTTAAATCTCACTAGCCCCCAAATTCTTGGCGGTTCAATTTTCTGCGGACCGGTGAAAAACAAACCTGCCCGGGTTGAAAGCCTTGTAGCCCCGCGAAATGTCCTGCAAACATCTGGAACCCCCGCTCTGGAAGAAAATGCGAAGCTGAGGAGTTTGTGATGTGGAAACTGGGTTGTGCTAGTTCAAAAACATACAGGACACTCGGAACGCCTAAGATCGTTGGGGGAGGCGTTTTTCGACGATCGTTTCTTGAACTTCATGGATGGGAACACCTTTTGAAGATGGACTTGCTAACCATCTCACCATCGCGAAACCTCTCATTCCACCCAATCACGTTGACCTTCAAACACATGTTCTTTGTTGGAGCGATGCTTATCTTGCTGGGTTTGTGAGTTCACTTTTTGAACAAAAGTAGACAGCTGATGGCCTGTGCTAACATGTGCTGTGGTTGAAGAGAATCCCACTTAGAGAAATGGAATTCGATGGGCACTGAGTAGACCAAGACCTTGAAAACAGGGTGCTCAGTGCTCGTCTCTCGCTGTATTGGTGTCCGGACATCTGAGAACAGTTGTATATGCATGTTGGCTGACAATGGCATTCACCGCGACAAACATCTAAGTAGGATTCTGGGGATATAGTAGGATTAAGCCCTACAGTAGGATCCGCTAACAAACAAATGGAATCGACTCAGCCCTACAGTGCATCTTTGAGTGAGCCCCTTGCTTTATGATCTTCATCGACCAAGCAGGCGCTATGTGCATCCTCATCGGGGCTGATGTTTCTCCCGTCTGACCACTCCTCGTGAATCAGAGTCACACTGTCCACGATTTGAGGCCGTAAGATTTGCGCGAACTGCCGGTATCGGGCCACTTCCTGCGCCAAGGAACGAATGGACAGGAATGGGGTGCACGTTTAATTTGGGGATGTTTTTTCATTTTTTTCGGTAATCTTTTTCAAACACATTGGAATAGAGCAGGTTTCTTATTAGTACCTAGCTAATTACAGCAATTCCGTGTCCTTAGCCGAGACACAGGTGTCGTAGCTGGCCAAATACATTGGAATAGTGTAGGTGTCAGAGAAAGTCCTACGTTAGCAAAGAAACAGTAAAGAGAAAGAGAACCAGCACAGGAGGCATATATGATTGGTTAGAAGCTTATGCCCCGGGGAGTTCACCTTAAAATATTGATTTCGTGGCAGGCGCAGGTGTCGGAGATGAAGTGCAGATTTCGTGGCGCGGGGGGGGTTGGGGGGTGGCGCAGCGCCCCCCCCAGCAGCACACCAGATCCAAAGGTTAGAAAGCAAACAGATGGAAAAGCAAAAACAAAAAAAATAGAGGAGAACAGCTGCCAAAGCAGAAAAGCAGCAAAAGCAAAGAGCAGAAAAACAAAAACACAAAAAGCAGAAAAGCAGCAGAAGCAGAAAAGCAGCAAAAGCAGAAAAGCAACAAAAGCAGCAGAAGCAGAAAAGCAAAAGCAAAAAAGCAACAAAAGCAGCAGCAACAAAAGCAAAAAAGCAGCAGAAGCACAAACGCAGCAAAAGCAGAATCCGAAAAACAATCCCCCCCCAAAATGAAACAACATCCCGAAAAAAAACGCCCCTCCACAGGAATGTAGGCGTGGTGTTTTTATTGGGTGAATGACAAGCATGCAAAAGGGAATTGAAGCATCTACCATGGCAGGATTTCCTTCCTGTTGGGCGCCCAATTCCATTCGGCTACCATGGGCGGACCGTGTACGGCGGCCAGTGTTTCTGTGCACCGCGGCCCAATGGCAGATGCAGTACAGTCGACTTTGGACCCACAGCAATGCTTGTAGTAGATCCTCTTCTCCCCCTAACGGTTGATCTTCCCACAGGGTTGGATATTCTCTTGTGAAGCCCCATACCAAGAGTCATGGGTCCCCAACAAGGTGCTCAAGTCACTGGGGCCTTGGGACGGATCTTCACTGGAAACCGTTGAGGTCAGCGGGTGGTCCATGGATCTTTCGTCTCCCACGTCTCAGTGGAGCTGTGGCCGTGGTTGCCACGGTAAGACAAGCGAAGCACGGCCGTGGATGTCTCGTTCAGAAATGCAGATCACCCCTGCAAAGCCAATCGGAACATGCAGAGCACTTGCAGCACACTTGAGACACTTGAGGCAATCCATACAATTCCATATATACATCTTGTCGTGATGTTTCTTTGTGAATTCTTTGTTTTGCCCATGGACCGCAAGGCTGACTTCTTAGGACACCTTACTCGACTGTTTCAACATGTTTTAACTGTGTTGTGCTAGTCGCTAAGTCAAATACGCACCATCCCAGCCCACAACTGTTCGATTTAATTGCGATAAATTCCATTTCGGAGTCCTTGCATAAGAATGATACTACATGTAGATCTCGGTGGACCGAGCGGAGGCATGGCAGCATCTATCGTCATCGTCGTCCTTTTTAAGATCTGGTCGCCTTTTTTGATTAACATCTAGGTGTGCATTGAACATAGGGAGACCTCCAAAAACATCCAAAAACCCTCCAGAAGAAGGAGATTAGTGAGAATAGATTAATCTACTTTTTTTTGTGGGGGGTACTTCTACCCATCTCTTCCTGACCTCCTCGATGTTCTCCACGCCGCCCTTCTGGCCGTTCTCGGGGTCGAAGGCGTACTTGGTGTTGTACTCCCGCAAGGCCTATTCGAACCGTCCGGGGAACAGACTCTTCTCCGTCCGAAGAAAAACGAGTTCGGCCCGTCTCGTGAAAAAAATACATACAAAAAGGAGCGAAGCTGAACATGCTGAACTGAACCCCCCCAAATAGTGGAGAGTGGGGTGGTGTTTGAAACAGGGGCATCGATCTGCTCGTTAGCATCAAACATATCTGGAACATTCTGAAACTAGTAACTAGTATAGCCTCAACAACTCTTGGCCACCCTTCTTGGCTCAAAAAGCACGGCAAGCTGAAGAGTCCTGATTTTCTGGCGATAACTTAAGTACTGACAAACATGAGAGAACCTTGACTACTCGATTGGTTCCCACAGGAACTGAGCCAAAAGTCTATCGCAGCCCAGCTGGGGAGATTGCACATCTGGGCTTGGACCAGGAGAGCTCAACAGCTCTTCATCATGAAGCCAACCCCAAATATGTCAAAAACGGGTTGCTTGCTTCGAGCAGGGCTTTATGTAGACCAAGCCCCCCCCACGCACATGATGGCACAGTGTAGAGTTGGTTCTGCCAGGTTCACGACTGGCGCTCGAGTCCCGCAGCGCCGTCCGGACACCGAAGCACGTGGAGAAGCGAGTGCTTCGGTGCACATCACCGGTGCTTCTTTTCAGTCATGAACAAAGAAAACTACGGCAGACTAGCAAAGGATATTTGTGGCAACACCATGCAGCCGCAGCACCCAAGCTCCAAAGGTCACACAAGCACCGCTTCCTTGAAGTAAGAACCCCAATAGCTCTCGCTATCGGAAAAACAAGAACAGGTGCAACCAGAACCCCAGATCCGAGTCGACTGAGCGGAGGCTGAGCTGCTTCCCATGACGTTCCCAGTCGCAGCGAGACTGGCTCACAACTCACAACTCACATTGTCTTGAAGAATTTCTTGCAGCAAGTGTTGAAGTCACATTCTCATTCTCATTCTGATGGGCCCAGTATGCTTCTCTGGATCTTAACTAGAACCCAAGCGTCTCAAACCACTCAAACTTCATTCAATTCTACCTCACTCCCTGATGGCCCCCCCTGAAGTGGCCTTACGGAGCTGCAACTGGGCCGGGGTGTCCTGCGCGGCCCGCCCAGAGCACTGTGCATGCCGTGCGGGCAGAGCGCGGAGGGTGTTTAAACAGTCCCTTTTGTTTTGGTCTTCTTTAGTTGCAGCAAAACAAATAGAAAGGTTGCATCTCCCTCAACCTCAAGTCTTGTCTTGTACTACTGAATTGGATCCAGGTGCGGCTTGGAATCCAACAGAACATCTGCAGATCTCCGAAGCTGCGCTACCCCCACTCAACCACAGGTAGAAATAGGTGGACACTGCCAAGATCAGCGTTTCATATTACAGCATTTCTAGCAGCTCTGACGCTGGATTCTGCCAAGACGCTGGCAGGGCTTGGAGCGTCCATCCCCCAAAAGCACTACCTCATTGCCTCCCTCCAGTGGGTCCGTTCACCGGTCCCGTTCACGTGGGTCGCCAAAGCGCTTCCTCGGAGTTCATCGCCGAAATCGACCCGACACGGTTGGTGGAAAGGTCTACCAGCTGTTGAAAGGTCCACTGACACCAAAGCTTGAGATCTCTCCAAATACTGCTTGACCGTCTAGGAATGATACTCTTCAGATCATCTCAACAACTCAAGACATCGTTCTACCAACGTTTTACCCAGGCGGTTGTCACCTAAAGGAGCAGGTTTTGAAACAGGCGCCTCAGCTTGAATTGCTCATGTCCCTCACCCAGCAGGCAAATCTTGTACTTCTGACAAATCAAAAATAAAACACAAGTAGGCAAAAGAAAGGGTCACTATGTAGCCTACTTTGGCAACATTCATAGCTGAACAATGCTGAACACATATGATATATATATATATATATGATCGGCATGGAACTAGGCATGGAATACCCAGAAGTCACAAGTCTTCCGTGCTTTTCAGCTGCCACACCTTCCACCATCTGATCTTCCACCTCTACAAGGCCATGCTGTCAATGCTGTCTGTAGTCTTAAGGATCCTTCGCAACTCCTTCGAAGGTGTTGGGACCCTGTTGGCGCCCTACATCCAAGTGTCTCCGACACATCACCCTGCAAAGAAGTGTGTGTATGGGATGCGGATCCATCGGGATGGAAACATGCATGAAGACATTAGAAGACACGTGGATCCACAGAAACGCGCCCCTCTCGTCCCCTCCGTTTTCGGACGCCCCTCCATCGCCGCGCCCACTCCACGGTCCGCGCCAAAAACAACGCCCCAGTCGCTGCGACCAGGCGATGAGCTCGCGCAAGCGACGCTCGAACTCCTCAAAGGCGAGCAGGAGAAGCGGTTCGGCGCCGCTCGGGGCCGGTGGGGCGGGGGAGTGGAGTGGAGTGAAACAAGCGTTGAGCCGTTCTCATTTTCAGATCGGCTAGGCGAACCCAACAAACAGCCTTCTGTTCTTGAGTGGGGACACTCACCGTTCTCAAAGAGGTGACCGATCCAGGTGATGCACGTACGAAACCGCTCAAGGTAGCTGGGTGGAATGCAGCATCAGGCGATGCGGCAGTGTGGTACTCCATGTATACGCAAACACCGGACTGATCATCATTCTCTTGAGGCGCTTCTGCCGGCGGGACACCCAAGCTCGTTCAGCTTTTAGAAGGAAACCAACCAAAAACCTATGGGTCAAATTGAACAATCCCCAGCTGGACATCTTTTCCTTGCAACTCATTTTAATGTTCTTTACCATAACACACACACACACATAATCCCAGCAGAGTTCTCTGGACACTCAACATGCGTATGCTAGTTGATCGCAAGTGGATGCAATTGGCTGCATACGGTTGCATATCAGTGCATCAGACTTGAAGTTGGAGGGAAGCTCCTTTCAAGAGATATATAAGGGTGGTGGCGTACGTTGATACATGTTGGGAATGGAACCTATTCATCACGGTGTCTATTCCCTTCTTTGTCTCTGCCATAAGTGTTGCTTTTCAGGAAACGTAGTCAAAACTATTCCCAAGCTGAAATGTTCCTCCCCATTCATGAAACACCGCTTCAAGTGAAATGCTTGATCTTAGCAAACTGTCCTGAAACAACATCACTCTATAGTCACTGTAGCCAATACACTATGAGTTCACAACCACGTGGCCCAAATCGAAGTGTCGAAGCACCGGTGGCTCCGAGCATATTGTGAGTGTGATTTAATGTGGTTTATTTCGCGAAGGTGAACACGCCCCCACCAAAAGCTACAGGATTCAAGACTATCAATTTTGCCTGATTGACTCTTTAAATGAAAACCTCATATGAAACAAAATATGAAAAACACTTTCACACACAACGCACACATACACCATTCATCACCATTCTCAGCTCACCAGACCTCGAGCCACCTCTTTGCCGATCCAGACGGTCTCCGCTCGGCCAGCGCTCGGCCCGCTCGGCCCGAGTGTGGCGCCTCGAAATGCAGCAGATCGCCGAAGCGAAGACCGTTCCCTGCAGCTGGAGCCGTGGGCGCCGTTTCCGAAGGAAGGTGGGACGTTGATGGGATGGGCCGGCTGGGGGTGCCTTGGTGGATGGGAGGATCGAAGAGATAGAGCCACATATATGGTCTACATATGGTCGATATTTTGCCTGTCCAAGCCTCACAACTAGCTGTTTCATAAGATTTGCACCCAGCCGATATCCTGAAGATCTTTTGGGAATGGACCAGAACACTGCTTGAAACATGTCAACATGGTTGTGTGACAAACACTATGTTGTCCGAGGGAGGGAGAAGTGCACAGCTCTGCCATGCGCATGGCCATCAGGTGGACAAAGAATGGCCATCAGCAATACCCTTCACCAAATCCAATTTGGTCTTCATAAAGCAAAGGAAACCAAGGGAGTATGTTGTTTTATGCAAAGATTTCCGTTATGCTTCTTTATGAACATATTTATGCACAAGTATCACATGCGTTTCTTGTCAAGGAGTTTCCATGTTTGTTTCTACACAGTGGCCGCCCCGGTGGCCAATGCTTCGCCGCAGAGACCGGAAGATTCGGTCACTAGATCTCGACATCTTCGGTTCACCGAACCATGCCAAAAGGCCCTGCCCATCTTCCAAAGGCTCTTCAATTGTTTGGATTAGCCTAGAATTTCAAGAACCCTGGCCATTCAGAAACCAATGAGGCCCAGTGGTTAGGGTGTATGGGTAGGGCCTGGGTAGGGCACTGATCATGGGGACATGTTGAGAACTCCTTCATGTCCAGGGGCCCTGGTCTTGATCGGTTTTGGGGGATGCAAAACCAAAATCTTCCCATCAGGTGGCGGCAAGTCATCTTCCAAAGTCATTCATGGACCATCTTCTACCACCACATCTACACGCATCTACCAGGTAATTCATGGTCCACCTTCATCTCAACTGCTGCGAATCACAATCGATGGCTATCAAACTTCAGCTACTCACGAATGCTTGCATACTGCAGCATGCAGCCTGAAAATGACCTGCATGCTGCAATCGAGCAAATCGATATCAATCGAGACTTTCTTCCAGACTCGTGCTTAGTAAGGAATAAGGCTGAATAAGGGAATGGATTCCCTCCGGATTCCATTCGGCATCTCTTGTGGGGGTTCACTCCCTCATTCCCATGGCCAACGCACAAGTCAGCTTCGCATCATGCCAGGGCTCGGATCGCTTTGGCAGAGTAGCACGGCCCAATGCCGCGCTTCGTGGTGCCGATCGAGTTGGTCCCCTACAAAACGGGCCGTGGTGCTCGACGCGTGGTGCGAAAGACAAAGGAGTGAACTCGGAGAGACGAAGGTTCCGAGGGAACTTCTATGTGTGGGGTCTGGGCCCATCTTCAAGGCAAGGTGATCGGACAACACCATGTGGTGGGGGAGAACTCTTTTCATGCTACAGGTCGCGATCCTTTCAGAGGCTTATTTGATCAATTCAGGTCCGGACTATCGTCCACACGATGTTTGACCACCCACTGACTCCCGCAGAGTGCATCCAACTTTTTGGCAACACATCAGCTACCTTCGGCACTTGATTCGATCAACAAGTCCAGTCGCACCTTGTAGGCATCCAGTCGTACATTCAAAACGAAGGTACGACTGGACTCGACAATGGCACCTACATCACAGTGGCTCCAATCACCATACCTGAGAAGGTACGACTGGATCCCTCAAGTTCATTCAAGTTCCGCTGTTGTCTTGTCACAGAACTGGACAAAGCGTTTAGTAGAGTGTGTTCCGCTATCCAAAAACATCCTCTTCCATACCACATAACAGTGTGATTCATATGATTTATATTGATTTATGTACAATCTTGAAGGACAATTTCCACATTTCCTCTGGACGACAAATTCAGTCATATTCAGCCTACATTGACTCACCTTGTACCTCATATCGAGAATGCTTGTGCAACCGAGTATGTGTTCGCCGGCCTTGACGCAAGGCATTAGGCCCATTGCCACAGCACGTTCTCAAACGGTTGGGTTTTCCAATCGCGTTGGTCAATTGAAGTATGCCACTACCACCTCCCCCTGCTCCGCAACTCCTGCTCCGCTTCCAGGATGCCATCGATGATCTGGCGCAAACATCGGATGTGTGGAGCAAAACATCGTCGGTGACTCCACCAAAGCGTCGGGGGACTGGTCGCCCCAGACCGAGACGTCCAAAACTTGGACCGAAGAGTTCGTGGGTGGAACAATCGTTGGTCGAACAATCGTTGGTCTCGTGGTTCCTAGTACGGTAGCAAAACATGTACAATTATATATATGACATAGTTGTCACATGTTTCAAAAGGCAAGTTTAGTCAGTAGCAGCTATCTATCCGTGCAACACTTGTACAGGAACCTCTACATGGTGACTAAGGCTGGAACGTTATGTTTGAACCCTCCAAAAAAAAACTTAAAACACACAATACCGACAAACCTAAACCCAAACGAAACAAGTTCAGCCACTTGCGATACTAACCCTTCCTCAAAACTTTAACCAAGATCAACAAACTAAAGTTAAAGAACCAAGCAACTAACTAACCATAACTAACCAACCAACCAAAGAAACAAACAACCGAACAACCCAACCCAACCAAACTCAACCCAAACCAAACAACCAAAACAACAACCAACAAGCAATAACCACAACAACCACAACAACAACAGCAGCAACAGCAGCAACAACCACAACCACAACCTCAACCACACCTTGAACTGGCTTTCGGAACACTAAGCCATAGAGTTGGGCCACCAAATGTCCACAATTTCACGCCTTCACGCTGGTTAGCACGCCTGATGGCTGTCGAAGAGGATGTGAGCGCCTGAGATGATTCCAGGTTTTTGACTGATCCATCCCTCTATCAGAACTGGCCCGCCGTATCTAACCAGAGAAGCCCGGGTCGCTACCCATCACTGTGGCTGCCCAGGCACTGGGCATCCCTCAAACAAACACCTGCCTGCAACGACTCCGTGGCTTTGACACGCGCCACCCAGTACTAAGTCCTTGCTCCTAGTAGCGATGCCCGGGTTCCTAGCGATGCCAGGAGCTACTAGTAGCTTCTTGCTCCTCCCACTTAAAGCAACTGGCACGTTTTTCCAAAAAATGAGTCGAGACAGGCAGATGTGGTCTGAAGGAGGTCGCGCTAAACACGTCGAAGAAACTGAACAAATCTTCACAGTCGATCTGATGGAAATAATGGGAAGATCCCACTCGCGCTGAAATGAGAAGATCCCATCGCTGACCCATTGAAACCTCAAAACTCCTGACTTCAAAAGGTTTGGCCCAAGCTCAACCAGTTGTAGTTAGGCTTTGGACTCTGCCATGTGCCAGATCCGCTCAGGAAGCAAAAGTCCAATGAAGGAGTTTCACCCTGAAAAGAACAAGTCCGCAGTCAGTTGCCAATTCAAGGCCTTAACTGACTAGTGCTTAGCAGGGAATGAGGGAATGGATCCAATAGAATCTCTATTGGGGGCTCATTCCCTTATTCCCTACTAAGCACCAGTCAGTTAAGGTCTTGTTTGGAAGTCCCTCTGTTCAGAACAGTCCCACCATGCAGTCCACAATGTCAGTTGGCATGACAGGTGGAAGAGCCCTGCGGCAGCTGGGACTCCATGTGGGAGGCTTCCCTCCCCCGCTCTTCCCTGGGCCGATTGTAATTCACAACATTGGGACTTGGGAGCCAACATCATACATCAAGATTGGAAAGTTTTCCCCATGTCTTCCCCAAACATGTCAAAATACAGCTTTTACCTCCTGGCAGTCTATGGCAGATCCTTCTAAATGTAGAGATTACAAAATATGGGGCTGGTCATCCGAACTTTCTCCACCGAGTGGCGGGTGGAAATGAAAATCCGCTCCAGCGCACGGGCATCGAAGTCTTTGAGCTCCTCTCTGGACGAGTGGAGCGCACTCGGTCGTACGGGCATCACGTTGGTCTCAAACGGTTGGGACCCACCCAAACGCTGCGACCATGAAACATGGCCAGCCCTGAAATGACATCCAGCTGGCCCATGGTTTTATGATTTTTATGTTTTAACCATGAGCCGGACAAAGGTCTGACGAAAGAAAAACGCCAGGTGTTCACCAAGTGCACATCCGATCAATCTGTAGAGTGGATGACATGGAATGTCAAGATTCTACCTTGGATCAGCTGACAACTGATCACAAACACGGATGCCACGAATAATGTCCTTTTGGCAACAATAGAGGGGTCAAATCGGTCCCTGTTGGTCGTACACTTGGGGGTATCCCCTTTGTGAATCAACCAACCAACAGTAAAAAGGACATCTATGCCACCAATGATCTTGGGAGGAGGCAATACACGAGGAGGCAAGGGATTGTTTCGGTGTCAGGAACCACTTCGACAGGTCGATTGCTTGACCGGTAAAGCGAATGGATGAATTTATGTCAACAAATGGAAACAATTTAAGAAGCTACTAGGGGCTCCTGGCATCGCTACTAGGAGGAAGGACGCTCCTGGCCTTACTACTAGGAGCAAGAGGCTACTAGGAACAAAGAAGCGGTTGTTCTTTTCTACTAAAGTTTAAGAAACATAACAACACACTTTGGGCTTGGTTGTTGGGTTGAAGCCGAACAGCCAATACAAACTGGTTTGTCTATATGTTTGTCTAAGGCTAAGGTAGACTCTTTATTAGTAACCCCCTCCCGTTTGGATTGCAACACCTCTTTTAATGGGGCCTTCATTGTATAACATTGTATATAATCAAGAGTCTAACTTATACAAATATCTCTTGTTGTAGCTTTGCGGAATTCATATGCCTTTATCATTATCATGGATGTCCCTGTGTGGATGGTGGTGCTGCTCAGAAGCCTTCGGTCCATCAGTAGCGCTGCGATGTTGTGTGTTTATGCTGGGAGGACGCTTCTGGTTGATCCCAGTCTGACTGTGCAGAACAATTGCTGAAAGAGATATGACCCACTTAGGCGATAGCTTGGTGGGCCCTTGGCAGTAAGGAGTGAACATGGACATCTCCAATCCTAAGATTCTGCTACTGTGTGAGTATGTAGGTCACGCTGCCACTCCCCACACTTATATCACAGCTGGGTCGGCAATGTGAATCGGAATTGATCGAAATTGGCTTACACAATGCAACAGAACGATATACCACAAACCACAGAAGCACCAAAATCATCCAAAATCCATCCAAATCCCAAGAGCGATTCTCTAGATCTTCTACTCTCCTCAGGAACTCTACTGGGCATCTTCACATCTTCCCTCCCCAAATGCCGCAAGAAAGGGACTCCTGGATCTCTTTCATCAGGGTGGGAATGTGAACCACTACGCCTCAACCCGCGCCACGGGCGCGGAACCGCCAGGCGCGATGCAGGCGGCGATGCAACGTACGTGGCGACGTCCCACGGGAATCGGTTCGGTGGACTCAGTCGGACCGATGACGCCTGGTGCCGCCTGAAAAAAACTTTGAAACGCCTGAGATTCTCTGAGAAAAACAGTTCGAAATGGAAAAGCACCTGGAAATGGTCATGTTTGGAGTGGAAATGGTCATCGAAGGGGTCATGCATGGTCACGCCATCCACTTCAGGACTTGAGGTGGCTTGATGAATCCCAAACCTCGAAAAATGATGATGGCTGCCCATGGCTTAGTTTACATGATGAACCTCTAGGTCAATCTAGATCTAGTGAGTTGATGGTGTGAGATCATCTCCACCACAACGCCTCTTCACCAAGAGTTGGCGATGGACACGAACACAAACTGTTGCGCACCATGGGAGAAGGACTGTGTGCCACACATAGACACATTGAACATCATTTAACTACATTATGATATGTGTTGTTTCATGCGATCCTTGTACTGCAAGCACTACATATACAATATATATATATATATAGAATATATATAATTTTATATCTACCTTGCCATTTGCATGACATCATATGGCATCTCAAATCTGCATTCTGCCCCACCCAGCATTTCAAAGCGACCTAACGCCACCACCATCTTTCCCACTACTTGCCAAGTGGCCATTTCCAATGAGGTTCTTGCACGCCTGCAGCAAACAATCTTCAGGATCATCCCTTGGATGGACCGATTAGCCAAACCGCCGCACCGCCTGAAGCCTACGGAGGGATGATCAGCAAGCCCCCAGATGTTTGTCAGCCTCCCTTGGCGAATGGATTCCAGTTGTCACATGTTGTGTGCCAAGCTATTCCAACCATTTGCTCACCTCCAGTGGTCACACTGTGCTTTTCCTCCCCCAAACACCGGTTCCGTTACCGTGGTGATGCGTCACACCCTGCACGGCACGAGAGCTTAGCACCGCTCTGTGGAAACGGGAGAGCTGCACTTGGAGTATAAGAGACGGAAAGAGAGGAAGGACCAAATGATATGTGTGAGGTGGATGCGCTTTCTGGTGTTCCTTCGATCCCGTCCCGGTAGCGCGTCTCAGTGTCCCATCCCGGCGGTGTGAAGCGGCACCTGCCTTGTTGATCATCCCACAAGGCAAGAGATGAAACGCATACCTCGGCGAGGTGGTGCGGTCTGGCTGCCGCAGGCTGTAAGGCGTGATATAGATATACACAGCTATAGACTAGCTATGGATTGCGAAAAAAAAACCACTGTTCATTTTTTTTGAACGATTCAAAGCGGTTGCAACACATGTTTCCAAGCTGAAGGTCTGTTGGCATCTTTTTGCCACATGTATGACTCATAATGTTCTGACTGCATGCCACCGTCTCAGGGCCCAAAAAACGGGCTGCAAGGCTTTAGAAAGACCTGGTGTTTCACCGCGCGTCGTCGTCGGCTTGGATTGAAGGACAAGATAATCAAGACAACAACTGTGCATTGGGTCCACGGTGTATCTTATTTTCTGGGGCAGCCCTAGTTTTCTCCATCAGGATATATTATGGTACCGGTACTCATAATGGTATATACTTTGGGTCTATCCTATTACCAGGGCCACAGTGGATGATGGGGGTTGCAGGCCTTTCCATCTCTAAAATAGTGATGTTGCTTGTGGATCCCGACCGCTCTACAGGGTAAGAACGGAGAAACCCAAACTGTGCAAATCTCCACGAAATCGCCATGTAGGAATTTCTTGATCCGACACGGTCATCGAAAACACGGTCATCTCTGGTCACGTGTTCTGCGCAAGTCTTTCACTGAGAGCACGAAAACGCCTCTTGCGTTCACTCCAAGCTGCTTCTTGCCCTCGACCACCCTTGGACCGGACATGAGATTGAGATTGACCGTGTGACTAAATAGGCTGTTCTAGGTGAGAAGAAGTTGAGGAAGTCCTCAATTTATTGGATGAAAACAAACTATGTCTTGTAGTAGACATTTAGTGAAACTACGTTTGTTGCAGTTGCAGTAGACAATCATAGATACACTATGTCTATGTTAACTATGATCTATTGTAGTTGCAAAGGCCTGACATCAACATTTATTCAAGTCGATCACTTGAGCGGTCCAAGCTATGCTCCACTTGCCGTGGAGCAAAGTTGAGCAATCCTGTAACCGGTAGCCACAGCCAAAAGACAAAGATTCCTCTCCTGTAGATGGCTCAACCAACCGACAACATCCCACTGAACACTGTCCATCCCATTGTGTGAATGTCAACCCACTGGATCTCTTTAAGAACTGAAACTTGGCTGCTAAGCTCATCGGGAATTGGGGCCCCAACATGCTCACCTACATTGACTTCGGTATCAAACAAATGTCTTGTCTTTTCCATGCACCCATCACCCCATGGTGTCCCGCTCTTTGGACGCAGCACTTGCTGCGTCCAGTGCCGCTCTTCTTGACTTTGTTACAATATCCTCCCACTGCTTTGAGCCCTGCAATCTGGAAAGAAGCATACACCATCCAGGCAGGCCTTTCCAACATCCTTCCAGTCCGGCGAGACTTGAATTAGCATTTCTTTGATATAGTATATACTGTATATATGTAATATATAGATAGATTGTCAATTTGATACCCACTTCGACCATCAATTGGAGTTTTGGAAGATTACAAAACCCGCCACTCACACAGTGCCTCTGGACGGGTAGGTAGAACTCATCCTCTTCATATATCACCTCTTCTTGCGCCACTCGATTTACCGGGACAAGCTGTCATCTCGATCTCCATACACTTTGACTTAATCTTGTCTCACCAACTCAACGGTCGTGGAGGAAAATGCTGCTGCCTGGCAGATATTAAATATTACTATTCAACATCTATTGTGCGGGTGTGCAAGCAATTGAGTTGCAAACAAACAACAGACACATCGATCAATCTCCCGGTCTCCTGTCGAGTTTCCGTCACCCAGTCACCCTAGTCACCCATCCGTTCCGGTTTACCGGGCCACAAGGTGTGGCCAGCATTGGCCCCACCGTTAAAGCGGGCGCAGAGTTGAACCTTCTGTGCTAAAATGTCCACCAGCTTCCCTTTACCTCGGTGCGTACCGTACTCCGTTTTGTTCAGCAGCGTACACGTCGAGTCTTTCGGAGTGAAGACCCGGTGGTGAACGACACTTCAAAGAACCACCAAGTGACCAAGTCGCGGAAAGTCTTAGTCTTGAATGAGAACAGGGATGATATGATGATATCCAAATCTCTTGAAATACATTGAAAGACTAGCATGATGATCTCGCTCAGGATGAGTCTGCGTGATAAACGATGCTGCGCCTGCTGCGCGCAAACGCACGACAGAAAAAGAGTAAAGCTCTTGTCTTCAACGTCTGGACTCAGTTCCATACCCACCTCAGTTCCTTCAATGCGTTCTGATTCATCTCTGGTGTCTTGAAGGAGCAAGGACTTCAAAGCCACAACTACCTCCTAGTTCAGCTGGCAACCTCCTCATGGTTGCCAAACACATTCAACAAAATCTCCAGATTTGTGCAGGGAGAATAGGTATAGAAAACCATCTGGTACATCCCAAATGTCCTTGCATTGTTTTGCATTTTTGCATCATAGACTAGAGGACGGGATGGGTGCAACGTTTACCACATAAATAAAAAAAAGCATCCACGCACCGGCCGAAGTCATGAACGAACCTAAGATCCTATCCAACAACCACCATTCCCTTAAGCTTTAGTCATGTTCCTCGTCCTTTCTTCCAGACACCCCATGTCTTCCCGAACGGTTTCGTCCGGCCTTCGTCTCCCCACCTGAGGGCCGGTGATGAGCAAGATCAACCGCCCGGAAGTCGGTGGAAAACGGGTCTTCCGCCAAACATGTGCCACTTCTATATGACTGTTTCAGGGAGTGTATCATAATATATAGATATTGTGTGTGTATGACATGTTCTGTCCATTGGTCAAAAAGCAGGCAGTCTTTGCTTCAACGAGGCTCACCTGTCTCTTTGATTGCTTTGGACATCTTCCCCAAAGAACCTCCTCTCAAAACAAATGGGCGCTGGAGGGTAAGCACACAGCAAATAGAGCCGAGTATGAGTAATGCATTCTTTAAAAGTTCTGGGCTGTGACCAACCGTTTCAGACCAAGAGCTGTGCTGGGCTTTTCTTTTTCTCACCGAAGGCATCCCAAGGCCACGGGGTGGGCGAGGACGGACCCTGCCGGGCCTTCACCCGAAACGGAGGACGGACCCGAACGGAGGTCGGACCTTCTATTTTGGTTCGGGCCCGGATTCTGAAGGTACTTCCAATATCGCATCGAAGTCGTTTCACGTCCGTGTTGGTCTTCGGTCGTCTTCCGGTTTAAACATGCCATCCACTGCCACTTCCGGTGTTCGGAGTGTTGAACCGGGGAATTTCTTGGCAGCCCCAGGTTCACCCACCTCAACAAAATACACATGGATCCATCCAAGTGCTATCCACGACCCAAATTGAAAGGCATGCAATCAAGCACAAGAAGATAGAACAACTGGACCTTGGTTTCCCCCAATACAGCCTTTACCTGTGGAACTCATCCCAGCAAGGGCACCAAAGCAAAGGGCGCGTTCTGCACGCGCCACGTGGGCCTATTTGTGGCTATTGTCTCAGTGTTATGTGCTGCTCACTGTTTCAGGCTAGCCATTTTATATGCGACACGTTGGGCGCCTGGACGTGCTTGACACGATGTTTTAAGGGCTTAAAGCCTTCCAAAAACGGACCACTTGGACACGTCGAAACAACACTGAGAAGTTCTGAGAAACATCCAGCCACACCATGCTGAACCCCTCACACCCGGCCAAAGGTGCCTTCAGGTGCTGTGAAGGAGACCAGGAGCCAAACAAAAGAAGACTTCAATGAATTTGCTCGTGGGAACACTTTCTAAGGGGACTTCATTCTTGTTCGAAGACTACAGGTGCGCATGCACATGCGCTCGCGCTGGGACCCAGAGGGACCTCGCGGGACTATCGACCAGAGCGAGGCCGGGCTGACGCAAGGCACGACAGTTTGAGAGCAAAAGCAGTTTCTTTGGTCTCCACGAAAAGCACCTTCCATTAAATTCAACTTTCCCCCACCTGAATTAGATTTCAATCTGACGGGGATCCCCATTCTTGCGTATAGAAATGTATAGAGTATGTATTCAGAAAACAACACCCCAAAAGCCTCTGATTTAACTAACATCGGGGTCGGCTTTCCGCCAGGGCATCCCTCATCAGTTTCCCGCGGTGGATAAACAATTCCTTCACCACAGAGTAAAGAACATACTGCTTCTTCATGTCGTACAATATCCCTTTCCTCCATCTTTCGCCCTACCAACGCCTGCGCGCGCGCTGTGCGCGCACCGTCTCATCTTCTTCGGGGCTGCTTTTTGGGACCCGAAAAACCTCCCCCCAAAGAATCCCGCAGGTTCAGTGTTGTGCACCGGCACGATGATCCTCCTTCCCTGAAAAACCGAGGCGCTGTGCACCCAAAATCACACAGAACTTGGAATCTTCCCCTGTGGCGCTTGATGCCTCAGGTCCGCAGCTGGTCATCGCGCGGTGACCGGTGTCTGAGGGTTTTTTTTCGACTTTCTGCCCTTCGGAAGGCCGGGTCAGGTGAAGGCGGGTTTTTATGTCGGGTGAACAAGTTGAAGGAGTGCTGGGTGAGAGTTCTATGAACCTCTGGGAACTGGATCTTTTTCTAAAAAGAACCGGAACAAGTCCCAGTACATATAGTTCTGGGGGTCTGCCTGCTTTGATGCACTACCCACAAACTTTACATTACTTTCCCAATTAAACCTGAGATATCCTGAGATGATACAGCAATTCACCACCACTCCTTGACGTGTGCGATGTGTATCCTCTACCATTTGAATACAATGTGCCTCGTGCAATTCGCGCCGTCCGCGTTCCGATCTCGCACACCCGGATACTGGCACCGAGTGGAAGACAGACTGTTCTGCACCAGTTCCTTCTGGTTCGCTGAGACTCTCGTTCTCTTCACAGCCAGACCTGGAATAAACCTCTTCCGGTTCCGACCGCTCGCTCAAGTAGGAGGGGCGGAACTCGTTCGCCGCGCGAATGGGGAGCGCGAGCTCAACAAAAAGCAACTGAACTGCAGAAACTGGACTCCAAGACGTGATCTGAGCGAGTGAGAACTATAGAGGAGCCCCGTTCATAGCGTCCTGGCTCCGTTCGTAGCGATGCCCTTTGCTCCGTTCGTAGCTTTCTTGCTCCTAGTAGTACGGCCAGGAGCCCCTACATTACAAAACCACCGGAGAGGTACTTGGAGTGATACCTGGTTCCTGTGAGCTGCTTGCAGACTGCTTGCAGTTGAACATGTTCCCCCTGGTCTTGTTTGCACTCATAGAAGCCAGCTTGGATTTGGGAGTGTGATAGTGCAAATCTTATTCAATCATATTCAAACGTAGCATACCTGCCACTCTGCCCTGGAAGGTCCAGCAAACACCGGATTTCGCAGGATCGCGCATCAGTCCGCTTAGCTGCCATAGAGTTTGTCCAGCCTGACGCCTGGAGGTGACAATGGATCTCGGATTTCTGCATCAAACGAAACTGGCCACATATGCATGCCTGTCTTCACATGCTTTGAGTTCAAGAAACGTATGTTGAATGATGTAGGTGGCTGGCTGTTTAAACTTCAGTCACCTGAGCCCACTTCAGCGACAAACCCGCCGAGGCCTCGCGCGCCGAGGGGTCAAGACGTCGTGTGGAAACGCTGAGCTTCAATGGAGTTCTGAGGTCTGCGATCTGAGATCTGAGAAGGAGAGCTGTAGCAAGATGGAGATCTCATCGATGATTCTTCAATTGATTGAAGCTCTGGTTTCACTGCTGAGCCGAAAACCAGCACATGTGAGGCAGGCTGGAAGAACATTTTGTGGTGCAGGCAACTGCCAAGATTCATGAGTCTGGAAAGAATCATGATCGTCTTTGAAGGGCAGTTCTCGCTTCCATTGAAATTATGCGGCCAGATATGGCAGATCACGAAGTCCATACCGCCGGACCAACAACTATACAAAGTCGCGAATGCAGTGTTTTGTGGTGTACGTAGAAAAACGCGTGCGCGGCGATATGAATGTCATCTAACACCATCTCACAAACGACGGGCTTTTGAAGCAAGTGACTACACCATAAAACAAATTATGCAAAAAATGGACGGGTCTCATCTGTTGAACTGAATGTGCCACTCCCATCCAGCCCAGGATTGGTGAGAACATGGCACAAGTAATTCTTATTTGGTACACATCACCGAACAAACCTGCCCCAGCAAAGGTTTCACCACCGTCCCACCTGCCGTAGGCGAATGCGAGTGGAGCCCATGTAGCCTTGCACACGTGCGTTCGGCTCAAACAAACACCAGTCAGGAATGGGAAGATGAAGACTTCCTCCCACCTGCGGTCTTTGAACAGTTTTGATTTTTGATGATTCATTGTGTTGTTCTCGAACACTGACAAAACCCGAGAAGGAGAAGGAGGAGTCAGGACGAACGAATATCTTTGCCCAGCTGGGACGCGTGGAGTCGGGCTCAGATCTGGATAGAAATTCGTGACAACAATCCTTGCCCAAGATTAAAGATGAACAAAATTGCTTAGCCATGATGTCTCTCTCTCTCTCTCTCCCCCTAAACAACACTCTTACAAATATCTGCTTTGAACAGCCAAGACTTCCAGCAATCTTGGAACAAAAACAGCAAGCCCAGCCCTGCCCACCCTGCTCTCAAGAAAACCAATTGACATGGATGAGCCCCAGAAGGTTCGCTGGAGTTCCGAGATCAAACAAGTCCTGCCCGACCTGCCCAAGGAGTCCATAACCTCGCACTCTGAGTTTTAGGAGAACCCGCGAACCGCTTACCCGACTCTACTTGGGCATACTTGGGCTGAGATAGTCACATGACGAGTCACCGCCTCCATTTTCCAGAATCTGCATGGGGAGATCTTGTTCCAACATTTTGCACACACAAATCTGATCAATGTGTTTTTTTGCCTAAAAGAGGTCATGGCAAAGCCTCTTCTCAGGCTGATCACGAATGAACGCCTCCGATTCTTCGACCGATGTCGGGTTGGCCTGGAAAGGCAAAGTGCCTTAAGGCCAGGAGAACCTGCGGAGTGCTCGAGCGACCACGTGGTCGGGAGGTTTCACGTGGATTCCGTCATGCGTCGCAGGTTTTTGACATGGAAGACCCCAATTCATCAGTAAGACCAGAGTCGATGGGGTCTCTTCTGGATGAGTTTCTTTCACAAGTAGAGCATGGAAATCCAGAAGAAACTGTGGCTATGAATGATTCTATGATCCAATTTGCTGGAGATCCACGGACCTCTTATAGACCAACACCAGCCGCTGTTTGTAGAACCACTTGTCAAAAACATACCTTTCTGGAGAATAGATTGACAACGTCTATGAGTCTACCGTCTTCACAAGATCATAGACCCGCCTGAGCCTAGTCTACCCTACTACCAAAGCAGGCACACAAGTTGGACATTTGCGGTACACTATGTGTCCCTGGAGAAAACCATCCTCTTAATCTACTGCAACTCCTTTTCTTTTTCTGCAAGCCTGTGATCGTCTGACCTAGTCTGACGCCCAACGTGCGCCCAAGAGGGTCATGCGCCGTGACGCAATACTCTGAGTGACTAGTGAAACAGAGTTCGTGTAGATGTCTAGATTTCTGGCTTTGTTGCCGCTGTCTAGACAAGAGATTCTCCTGCCAGGATCTCGGAACAAAGCCAGAGTACCGGATCTAGATCTCCTGCCAGGATTGAGATTCTCTAGATCTCGGAAAATGAATCCTGCGCATGTGCGGGGCCTTTGAGGTTCCCGACATGGTTTGTTTTCCCCTTTCAAGGTACAAAACAACATGAGGGGAGCCCCCAACCATTGAGTGTCGGTTCTGCTCCCCTTTCCAATCTTCGGATAAACCGCGGTCGGCATCACTTTGCAGCCATTCTCCTGCCAGGAAGGTTTAGAAGCGAAGACTGCGCTGGCGGCATTGAATGCAAAAAGGGCAAAGCTCTTAATACTACGGTATTTTCATCTGCAAAGTCATCGAATGTGCTTGAGTAGCTCTTTCCTTTTACCCAACAACTGCATCACTTCATTCATTGGAGTTTCCAAGGCACGCCGAATCGGTTTCCAACTCAAGTGAGGTCCACTAAAACTTTCATCTTCTCGAGCTTCAATCTGGCGAAGTCAACAGCATAGTTGCCCTGAACACTTGCTTGTCCAAAAAACGATACTTGAGACCTCGTTCCAATATCTTCGAAGAAGCACCTGCACAGGCCAGGAAGCTCACTCGTCACTGGTTTCAGGCCTCTACCCACCAACCAGTTCCCTCCACCCAGCACGGCCCACCAACTGCGTTGCCATTTTGCGCTCATCGACCAGGCGTGAAGGTCTGTCGGAGCGCATCGAAGCGAGTGATGTTCCACTGGTCCACCTGGGAAATGAAGAAAAACACACAGAAAAGAAATATTGCTTAAGAAGCAATGGCCTCCACCCTAATATATATATATATATA